AATTCATCCTGACTCGGTAATAAAATAGTTATTTCAACTGTACCTCTTATCAGTACTGGGAGGAACAATAATTTTCATTCATAATATCACCCATTCCCTTTTCTCAATACATGCAACTTCATTATTTCTTCTACAATTCAATAATTATTTGTAATATAATAATTATAATGTGTAATTATTATTTCTACTGCTGGAATGTTTGAATGGAATTATTTTTAATAATTGGAATGTTACCAATTAATGTAGAGATTTAATGAAGATTTAATGAAGATTTAATGAAGATTTAATGAAGATTTAATGAAGATTTAATGAGAATTTTCAACTGATTGAGGGAAACCTTTAAGGTTCATGACGCTTATAACGCCAGGTGTACTAATTTATATCTGATATTGAGATTATTGGATGGAAATGAAAATAGAGCACCATCGAAACCGGTTCTGATCACTCTGCTTTTATTGAAATAATTTTTTAGTCTCGTGTCCCACTGGATACTGAACAGGCACACCAGGCTAGACAAGGTTAACGTCCCAATTTCAACTCTGGAGCAATTTTTTACCACCTTGCTACACTCACATTCCACAACACTCTGCTAATCCAATTGGCTTCTCCCGATATACGTGTTTCTCGATTATTTCGTAAATCACATTCGCCCGACCATGTGAATTGCTCTATCAACATTGTCACATGTGCTGAACATTGTCGGCTTTTTATTTAATTTTCCATTGCCTCAGTCCTCTCGCTTGAAATTTTCATCAACAATTGGATTGTTTGGTCTTACATATTCGTGACTCTCACCGGCTATTTTAGTTCGAGTTTATTTCCCCCTGTTCTCTCATTCAACAATTGAATTTTTCGGTTTCATCAATTGGTGACTCACGCGGAAATATTTTTCTTTAATGACAACAAAATATTATCCATGAATTTAAAATCAATTAACAGGAATTTATCTCGACAATTAAAAACAAATCATTGAACCCAGCTGAATATGGAATTTTAAAAAAAACAACAATTTGGGAAGATTATTTTTTTAATCTTAGGGGAAGTTTTTTCCGACGTAAAAAAAAATTCTTACTGTACACCTTCCATTCCAAATTCCATTAATAATTGTTTGATTGGATTTATCGACTCCTCTGGTTGTCTTTCTCTGAGTGTCTCATAGGTTGCATTCATAAACCAATCTCCAAAATGATTCACGGAGGGCAATCAATTTCTTGAGAATTTTGTTCATCACGCGAAAAAAAGTCCTATCAAATATTGAAGAGTGTACGTAATTATCGCATTGTCAACTCATGTGTAATCCCTCACTCTCTGTAATTCCTTTCTTAGAAATAATTCCACCCAATCTCTTTGTTTACTTAACTCAACCGATTCGTGACTTTTGCGGAATTTCGTATTTCTCTCGCCATATTTGGCCTTCGCGAATTTGTGGCGTGTTGCAATCGCAACTGTAATTTTCACCTGGATGTTAATTCCATGAGTGAGTGTGCGAATGTATCTCGACAATAATATTAAAATCCACCCGAAATGATTTTCAAATTGTTCTGCCGAGGTGAAAGAACTTATTTTCATGAAACTCTGTTTCGCGCGTGGGTGGAGACTAATATGAGAAAATTCTCGCTAATGATTGCCGAAGAATGTAGCATCGGATGGAGATTTTCCGATGCCGTAGAATGTTAATCGTCTATTCTTTTGTTTCTAGAAATAATGAAAATTATTTTCTACCCAGGAATTCACGCGCTGAAAATTCTCCACATAATTTCCAACTTGTCGCAAAAAAATAAATTAATCCAGTATTAGACCAATCTTCTCAATATCAAAAAACAGATTCAATATAAAAAACGGTCTAGATGTTAGAACCGGATTTTCTAGATTGACGATAATTGAGATTAATTTTCTCGACTCCAGAAACTTTTTCTCTCTGCGGGTGAATTTTTCTTTCATTTCGCAAAATTCTTCCAATTTTTTTTTAACATAAAACGTTGACAAAAAGTGGACGGATAATTATATGATTCCCCTTATCTTATCTGTCAGTCGAGCTTTCCAGCGATGGTAATTTCTCATTTGTGGATTTTTAATTGTTGAACGAAAGTATTTACTGTAATAAGGTTGACATGAATGTTGCAGGCGAATTTATAGTTCTATTCCTGAATTGATACCTCTGGTAAAATTGAAACGCATTCCCACGCTCGTAGTGACCCCCTGGGTGCCCTCCAATGATTTAATAGTCGATGACGAACGTCTCTCTATCCTCTAATCAAAATTAAAAATTTTCAATCATAAAACTTGACTCAAAGGTACGATTAATGCATTAAATGCATTCGCGGCGGAGGTCGGAGCCAAGGTTTTATCATTTCTCGCCTGTTCGCCTCGCCCTCGACATCCATAATAATATTTATTATTATTGGTAACCAGATATAACTGTTAAATATCATTTACATCGTTTTTTCATCTCGTCGGTAAATGTCGGGTTTTGAAGGAAAACTGGATTATTGCGGACTGATTCTCGTAATACTGATTCTTATCTCGAGCGCGGGGAGAAAGATAAATGAAATTATTTCCCAATCTGGAAATTTTTCACTGAAATATCTGCTGATGAGATTTTCTCACTGAAAATCGATGAGGTCTTGAGAAAATACGAGCAATCTTTATATTTCGACTCAATTACTCCATGAAAATTCGTGGAAATTCAGCAAAATTTTATTCTCAGAAATATGGAAATTTATGAATGAATATTTATATTTCGGGAATTTATTTGAGTTTCCAGAGAAATATAAAATTTTACTTGAACTAGCCAAAATTTTCCGAGAATCCAACGCGTGCCGAAATATTCATGAAACAATCCGCGAATTCGTTGCGATGAGGAAATTTTCAGCGACTTATTGTGGAAATCATTTGAAAATTAATATATGTTCTTTGAATCATCAGAGCCTTCAACAAGCGAGACAATTATTGAACGAAGTAAACAGCAATTGTTTTTTTTTCTTCTTCATAGTAGAGGGAATAAAAACCCATGTGTGGACTTTCACTGTTTCGAGGAACGAAAAAAAATGAATTATGCAAGATTATGAATAAGTGGTAACTCCCTAAGAAGTAATTCCCTCTGCAAATTTTTTGCACTTCCCCCACCCGGATTTTCCGGATTCCAAGCGTTTATAATTGGAATTATTAATTATCAGTGAAAATGCGACAATCATGCATTCCCTCGAGCTCCTTTTAATCCTCATCATCTCCAGTTAGTTTTACCACAAATTATCCATAGCGGACTATGCAATTGAAACGAGAGCGCATCTCCGAGGGGGGAACTTAATAATATAATTACTCGAGCGCCAGTAATTGGATGACAAGTGAAGAGAATATGGAGAATCGGGAGAAAAACAGTAGTAATCACTCGAGAAGGTACAATTTATACTCCATCTTCATTAAGTACCGCGACAGGTGGTCTCACATGATTAAAAACAAATAGAATCTACTGGGAAAATGATTTTTAACCTCAGGAAAAGTAATTTACGAGCGCAAATTAAACTTGTGGTTTACCAATTGATGAAACTGCATTTCTCACTGATATATTATTTTTTTTTAATCTATAAACCTGTTCTCTTTGGAATAATATTCATTACGAGGGCAATGGAGACAATTTCAATCTGATCTCTTGCAATTACTTTTGTTTTACATTCTGGGTAATAACAGAGACATAAAGTACTATTTTTATGGTCATTTTGGCGACCTCATTAGTGACAGCAAATATTTATATACCCCAGATGTAGATATAAATTCTTTTAAACTCCGTCTCATTTTTTTTCCCGGCGCTATTCAGGAATTTTCAATTGCATGAGTCGTTTCCGTTTGTCCGAGTTATTGAGAATAGTCATCACGGAGGGATTTCAATTACAGTGTTCACGTATATATTCTCTTTTTCATTGAAAATTAAAAAAATGAAGAAAAAAAATACCTGAACGAGAGTGAAAGCAATGCGGACAGCCCACGACGAATGCAAATCTCATTAGGAAAATTCAAATCGATTCAACCGATCACGGGTAATTAAATGCACGGATTTATCCAGTGTATGATCAGACAAATGCGTGAAGCTGTTGAACGGAAGTAACGCAGGTGGGGAGAAAATTTGAAAAATCCTTTTTCGCAATTGGTCCAGTTGGTTAATGGCAGCCGGAAATCGGGGATATTACTCTAACGAGGTGCAGTAGAGATCGATCAGCTCTGACTTTTTTTTTTTTTTTTCATTTTTATTTCCGCTGTTGCGGGAGATATGCGTGTGTGTGCGGATAAATGTTGCTGATGTATCGTGAAAGCCTTTTCCAATAGGCGCACCGACGACGCGTGCAGACTAAATGTTTTACTTCCGGCTCTCCTCGTGGAGGGAATTGCAATGATTTCGGTACAAAAGGGATTTTAGTTTTTTTTTTTCGTCAATACTAATTCTGGAATTTCAATCTATTTCCCGGCAGATTTTTTTTACCAGCGAGAGAACTTGTCTTCAATTTTCATTGATTTTTTTTTTCGGAAAACCAGTCGTATCTACGGATTTCTAATTTTTATAATGATTTGAAATGAATTATCTGTAATTAGCGGGAAAAGTCGTGATGTTCAAAAATTTTTGAGGGAATTTAGGGGAATCTGAAATTTAGTGATTGATTTTCCTCTATTTTTGGAATTCTTTGCGAGCGACATATCGACAAACTCGATATAAATTTGTTCTAACAGGAATTTCAAGTCCAGTAGAATAAAAAAAATTATTATCTAACAGCAACTAGTCTAGCTTCGATTTCCTGCCTTCACTACAAGAATTCCGTCACCGATTCGCCCTGTCCCAGGATCCCAATTATCCCCAATTTTAATCCCCCAAAAAATATTCGACGCCGATAAATTTTCCAATCTGCCAATCCCGTATTTACGACTCCCAATGCCTCTCGCGATTATCACGGACATCCCTTTCAGCCCAAAAAGCTGCATAAAAAAAAAAATCTCATAACTCCACAACTCACCGGCAAATCTCTCCCCCAAAATCCCACCAGCTCCCCGTGAAATCCCTCTGAAATTCCCTTGAACCTCTCAATCACCCTAAAATAATAAAATCCTCCCTAAAAGAGAAAAGAAAAAACATCCAAAAAGCAAAGAAAAAAAAAGCGACGAAAAAAAGAATCAAATCCACTCACGATTGATTCGATCGATACGTGCACTGATCGATAGTATAGCCTCGATCCCGATGGGTTGCACTTTCCTCGTAAAAATCAGTTGTTGCACTGATGACAGAAATGAGTAAAATACTCGTATTACACAGGAGTGGATCCTTCGGTGTATCTTCTTCGATTCGTTTCCATGATGCAACTGGTCAAGCGCGAAGATGAACCCACTGCACTGGGTCTGTCCCCCCGGCCCATGCGCAACCTCTGCCCACCCCCTAGCCCCCCAAACAAACACATACACGTACAAAGGGGAGGGAGAGGTTAAAGAAGGAGTAGAAAAAAAAACGAGAAGGAACAGCAGATTAAAATTATTTTTCTCTTTCGAGAGTGGACTTCACCAGCGCGCGATGTACCTCGAGTTTGACTGACTCGTGATACTCCGCGTGTTCTCCCGGTCTAGAGCTCTCCACCTCTTTCCTCCCTGTCCCCCCTTTCCTATTCACACAGATCCCCTTCCACTTTAAGGAAAAGTCACGGCTCACAGACAGCAAGTGCATTAGGCACTTATTTATTTATATATCTAGCTTGTTTAGGATTTTGTGGTTGTCGTCTTTTTTTTCTGTTTTTTTTTGTCTCTGCTGGAGATCTCTACGTGAGGGATCTCAGGTCCGCGGGATTGTTACCGAAAACTGGGTCGCATATCACGTTGTGGCAAATCGCGATTTTAGCTGTCGCGGTTTTTAATGCAGTCCGGGGATCAGGACTTTTGGTTGGGGTTTTGGGGATTTTTTATTTTATATTCCGGAATTTAGTCGGGGTCCAGGGAGTGAACTCTCAAGCTGGGGGGATTATTACTGTGAACTTTGGTTGCAATATCACGTTGTGGCACTCAATCGCGATTTTACCGGTCGCGGTTTTTAATGAAGTCCTGGCGGGGGTCAGGATTTTTCGTTGGGGTTTTGCGGATTTAGCGTGGATTATTGAAGGCTATGGGAAAATGCGGTAGATGATGGGGATTAACAAAATAATCATCCATTTTCGGAGATAACGTTCAGTCTTAATTTCCAAACTAGTTTTATATTAAATGAAATTTAGAGAAAAAATTCATCGATCAAAATGGAAAATGATGGAAAATAATATCATTGATTGATTTTATCCTAATCATAAAAACGACTCATAAAAAATTTTCTGATAGATTGACATTCTATCAGATATCCAAGATGTTATCAGGTGTAACGAAATACGTCTGAAAAAATATCTTGGCATGAGACATTCCTTCCCCAGTTTCAATATTCTCTCCAAAGCGAAAACAGGAAAGAATATTGATAAGGAAATGACATTTTTTACGATTTGACTCGGTAAAATACAGATCAATCGATTCACCTGCATTTTGATATTCACATAGGAGGCGTGTGTTTTGGTTGTGTCCTTGGTGAGATGCAGTCCAATGAATGATTTTCTATTCAGAGATGTGATTCATTGGTATGCGTGGTGAGACTGATTGATGGCTATCAGTTATTCCAGTCGCCCCATTGTAACATCATTCAATCACAACCATAAATTATTTATCCCGCACTCGATCTCTACCTCAAATTTACCTGAGACAATTCCAATGAAAACTTCAATGACTTCTCATTAATTTAATTGATACATTGGGGGTCACTTGCCGATCTAATAGTCAAGCACAATTAATTATTTAGAGGGCCTATGAGAAACTTTCTACCGCTCGATAAATTCATTACGACTGACGTTAATGTTTCATGGCAATAAGCAATTCATTTCAAGTACACCGGTGATATTGAGTATTTATGATTTCATTAATGATACTGCACCAAAAACTTCAGTTTATTAATTGCACTCTGGGTCAACGGGAGAAATCGCGAACGGAAGCGAATTCCGAAGAAATTTCAGGATTATTTCCCAGGAATTCCACCATTTCTGGAAATAATTACATTTTCTCAAATTAACCTTTGTTCAATGACTCCGCAAAAGGTAGTACAATTGAGATTTCGTAAAGTCATTGAATAATAATAAAACTCCAAAAGAGTATTACATCCGATTTTTTTTTGAACTTCAAGAAAAAATCATTCTGTTTATTGTCATCTCCTTAAAAATCTGTCAGTCTGACAGTTCTGCAGAAATTCTTCTCAATTAGATCAGCAGTCATCCGATGGCATCACTCGGAATATATAATTTTGATGTCATCTATTGCGCGATTTAGCTTAATTTTCCTAGTGATGATGACTAAATCTTTGAGTCCATCAGTTGATACCAAGAACTGTCAACCACATGAAATGTTACACTTTTTTCTCTGTAACGTGTCAGTCTTTCTATGATTTTCGAAGCTGACGACAGCTATGACGCAGAGTCCTGGAAATTCTTGCCAAAAGATCATGAATAAAATTGCTTCAACGTCATAACACTTTTCATCATTCTTTTTGCATCTGCCACGACTTTAATGGCAAATCCGGTGGGGAATCCTACCGTTCATTCATCTTAGAATTCTCAACAAGGTGAACTGAGTCATAGGCAAGGTCGGGCTTTGGAAATCAGAGATGAGAATTGAGTCGAGTCATCCTCTTGTCTACACGTACTCCAGTTATTTTCATTTTGGCGCTAACTCTCAGTTTTTCCACTCCTGAAAAGCCTGGACTTATTTTTAATCATGAATTGATTATTAAGTAACTAAATTCACCATGACGCGAAGACATTCGACTGAGGCATCATCTAAAGATAAATTGTTGGAAAAACTTTATCGAATTTTCCGGGTTTTAATAACGAAATACCAAAATACTTGAAATACAAAATTACTGAATTATTCTAGTCATTTTATATAGTGAAATTTATGATATTTATAATGAAAAAAGAAATCATAAATATCATTATGAAAATACCGTATGAACACGTGATAAAAGCAGCTAAAATTTCTCTGAGAATCCTATTTTCTTCAGAAAATTTAATTTACCTCCGATTTTCCAGCGGAAAATCTTCTCCACGACTATCAGATAATCAATATTCTCTCGGGTATGGGTACGAAGTTTTTGTATTCACCGTAGAATGGAAAAGAAATGACTCGCTCAAGGAAAACACACGCGTTGTATCAAATGAGTTCGCTTGAGTATGGATAAATTGGTGAATTTAAATTCAGAACGGTTTTCCTGACGGTCGTGGAGTTTTTACAGTTATAGCAACGAGTGAAAGCAGCGTGACAAATTCATCGCAAGGTGAAGGATCAGGCGTTCACCCATTGTCTTCCTAGCAATGAAGAAAATTCCGCTTTTTATGATTCACCTTGCATTTTTTTTTCACACCGCACGCTATTTAATTCGTCCCCTAGAGCAGACGGTTTTAATGCACTTTGTAATTAAATGAATCTCAGCATTCTCGTTCGGATAGAATACCCATTGTGTTCAGTTTGATAGTCATTACAAAGCGATTCAGCCTTGCGAGTAATTTACACTTACCGAGAGTGAAAAGATAAAGAGTAATTCCGTTCTTTTTCGGTCTTTCTGTCGTTTATGTTGTTTTAACGCTGGAGCTCCTGGGACTTCATTTAATGCGAGATTAATTGGAAAGATTTAATTGGAGAATTCGAGAATCAGAGCGGTTAACGATTTCAAGATCACGGATTTTCAACGCCTTTTTTTTTTGCTTGTTCTATCTGATGATCTCTATTTTAATCTGGCAAATGGTGTCTAGACCACAAGCTAGGGAAATTTTGCTCTCACTCAGGAAGTTGTGAATGAGATAGTCAATGGATTTTTTTTTTGTGTTCAATCTGCGATGGGTATAGAAATCGGTGGCTGATCGAGGGGTTCCTCTTTTACTGAAAATCAACCGTTAGGAATTTCTTATCTCAGGTATCAATGGGATTCAAAGGCAGGGATTTGTTTTGAATGGAGAGAAATTGAAAGTAAATAATTGTAGTTTTTTTTTCTACTTATTCAAATCAATTCTCTCTATTTTACCTGACGTGCATTAATTTTCTGATAACTGAATTTTTTATTCTAAATGTATTGTAGATTCAAAGAAATAATTTTTGTACTGAAAAATTCATAATTTATCAATTATCTATAGAATTAATCAATAATTAGAAATTTTCGATAATTAATTCGATTTTTTCTGGATTTTTCAAATATTTTCGAAGGAAAAATCGATGACAGTAAAAATTTACGAGTTTCTGCTGCCAAAAAAATCTGGGAATCCCCTCATTAACTTAATCTTGAGATTTCTCTCAAAATCACTTCCGTATGATATAAAAATCATAAAAAATAATTTATTTGATTAATGCTGTCTTCACGGATTGCAATCAACCCAACACAATGCACCTCCATTCATCAAAATAAATCTCCTTTATGCACTTTCCACGACTTTCCTAAACCTCTGTCTCCATAACACTCATCTCCCCGCCGTCACCATTAGAAATTTCCATCGGATCGACATTAGGTATTCCCCGCGCCAATTTCATGTTTCTTTTCCGGACAATGACCTTGTATTGCATACATCCTACCGTAAACACTATCCGCAATCTGAAACCCAGGGAGAAAAAAAAAGTCTAGATGAAATGAAAGAGTTCCAGCGCATTGCGAACTCTTTCGCATGAGGGGAAAGTGTCACTCTGATAATGGTCGTACATACTCATCAGCTGACGCATTTTCAAATTGTTTATTTATTTATTTATTTATTTATTTTTTTATTGTTTTTTAATGTCACTTTTATAAGAATTCTTCTCACATCTCCAGTGAAATTTTTAAAAATTTCTAACAGTCTAAGCGTCAGGGTAAATTGTCCCATAAATTTTTCCTGTATTTTTTATTATATTCTTCCGTTATTAATCAGTCATTCTGACTGTTTCATCGTGTTGTTGGGTTTTCCCCCGCCCTTGTTATTATTTCTGTCTGTTTGGCGCCTTACGGTTATTTTTGCACGTATGAGCCACACGCGTAAAAATAAAAATAAAAAATATCGAACGAATGGGTTTGGGAAAAATGAAGAGATTAAATTTTTGAAGAATATTTCACCGGATGTTTTGATCTCGAGACGTTGATTGAGTAGTTTCTCCGGTGTATCCTCAATTATGTTGGTGTTATTATTTTTATTATTGTATTTCACCAGTCGTGGGGAATTGCCGGTCGGTGTAATTGATCTCCTCGATCACTTCGTGATTGAGAATATTTTTTCATTTTTCAATTTCCACGTTCATTAGGTTTTTTCATTAGCATCGCTGATTGTTACACACTCTGTGCTCGTTAATGCAAAAATAACAAAATTCTGTAGACCTATCGACTATTATCTCGTTATTCCTATTTTTATTACCTCGGGTTTCACCAATCACCAAATGATTTTCTGTTGACATTGATTCCTCGGAGCATCTGGTGATTAACAATGTTTTTATGGGATTTTTGCTGACCCC